TTTCCTAGATGTGCTATAACAGTGAGCTAGAAGAAGAGCTCATTTCCATCTCAGGTATAAGACAGAAGCAAGGTATTGAGAGATCAAGCATTCACAGCACAGTTGCTTACAATCAAAGTATCTGGCTAAAAGTTGGCAAGTGACATCTGATTGGGACTCCTGGATGGTTTCAGAAAGGAACCCAAATATGTATGAATTGCCAGGGGTTAGATATTTGCTTATTGTAAAGGAAGACATATTAATTGGTCCTATATAGGAGGAATTATTGCGCAGTACATGATTCGGCAGCAAATAAAGGAAATTAGCAAATGCTCTAAAAAAGTCTTCCAAGACTAAAGGAAGGTGAAAAAGAGACTAAGCAGAATATTAAAATATCCATGCAGCATGGTAAGGGAGGATGAATCTATATTCACCTATGTGTTAATAGAGACTCTGTTGTATTCAAGATCTTCCAGTACTTTCACACGAGTCAGCTAAGGTAAGTAGAATCTTGCAAGCAGCAGACAATTTGATGAGTTGTAGTCACTCAAGAACAACCAGGGGATACTGAAGCAGAGAAAGCTCATGGAAAGATACAACCCACAGATGACTAGTTATCATGAGAAGAAAATCTGGAAGACAGGTAGATCCATATCTCATTGTTCTGTTTTCAATTTGCAGCGTGAATGCATATCTGTCCACGTCGGTCAGGCTGGTGTACAGATTGGCAATGCATGTTGGGAACTGTATTGTCTTGAACATGGAATCCAGCCTGATGGTCAAATGCCTAGTGATAAAACTGTGGGAGGTGGAGACGATTCATTTAACACTTTCTTCAGTGAGACAGGAGCTGGTAAACATGTTCCCAGGGCAGTGTTTGTGGACCTAGAGCCAACTGTTGTTGGTATGTACCCAACATTAAAGACCTTCAGTATAAAAGTGAAGAGTCCCTACAGATTACTTATGGTCTGAGTTTTTTTTGTTTTGGTTTTTGGTTTGTTTTTTTTTTGTGGTGGTAGTGGTTTTTATTTTTGTGTGTGTGTGATCAGAACCCTATAGTCTGAAAGATGTGTGTCTGCATGCTGTTTTGACATTTGAGGTTATTGTGACTTGAAAGAAATTATGTTCTACAGGTAACAACATTTGGAAAACTGCAAAACTTTTCAAGGGTGCTGCACTGCACCCAGAGTTTCATTCAGTTGCTATCTAGAATCTTGTCTGTACCTGTAATGTAGATTTTCTGAGTGAACCTCTTTTCAGGAACAAATACTGTTCTATGAATGGCTGATGTCTTCCCCTAAACAAAAGAGCTGAAGTTGTGCCAGCTCTCTAGTCTAGTCAGGCAAGCTGTTTATAGTCAAGGATGCTGTCTACATTCTTTCGACATGCACGCTTAGTGTGTAGTCACTAAGTGGCATACACAGAACTGAACAGATTGAATCTATGTTGTGGTAATCTGTTTTCTTACAGATGAAGTACGTACAGGCACATACAGGCAGTTATTCCATCCTGAGCAGCTCATTACTGGGAAAGAAGATGCAGCCAATAATTATGCCAGAGGCCATTATACCATTGGAAAAGAGATTGTTGATCTAGTGCTAGACCGCATTCGCAAACTGGTACGAATTCATGCTGCAAGTCCATATTTAAAATAATTGGTACAGCTCTACAGCTGTCTATAACAGTGGTTTGATGTGGTTTCTTCCCTGAGAATTTTGTGCATAGTTTATTGTTTAAAATTCAGTCTTCTTGCTCCTGCCCCCAGTTAAATAAAAATTTAGTAAATAAAACTTACTACTTTCTCCCCCAGGTTTTGAAATACCAGTATTTGAAAGTATTTTAAGGATACCTCGGAAACATAAAAGCCTTAAACAAGTGTGACAATGCTGTTACACTTTATTATTTGTAATTTTCAGTTTGATTTCATGCCCATTATAAGTGGTGCAAAATAGTACCCTTGACCTCAGATTTTGGTTGAATACTTAAAAAATAAAATGGCTGATGCTGCACTGAGAAACTCATATAGGATCATGTGATTCAGAATTAAATGGTGATTGTCTTTCAATTTTTGTAATTTTAAATAACTTGTTTTCAGCATCTGATACTTGCTGAAAGCCAGAATGGGAACAAATGTATTCTAAAGATAAAACCTAGCTGTAATTTATAATAATTTATCATAGTGGTGCTCAGCTGCTCTTGCTTACAGTAGAATTAAAATGGCATTACAGCTAATAAAGCAATTTGTAAATAGTAAAATACTCCTATTCAGAAAAAGTTACACAGTGGCACTGGTACTTTTGAGTAAAAGGCACACAGGAAAAAAGGAAGACCACCTTTCGAGAATGCTGGGGGGGTTATTATAAAAATCTAAAATATACTTAATAAGGAAATGCTGTTGAATGATTATTTTAATACTGCTTTCTGCAAAATACCTTTTTTTTTTCACCACTCTTTTCCACCCCATTATAGGCTGATCTCTGCACAGGGCTGCAAGGTTTCCTTATCTTTCATAGTTTTGGAGGAGGCACTGGTTCAGGATTTGCATCTCTGCTCATGGAAAGGCTCTCTGTTGACTACGGCAAAAAGTCTAAACTAGAATTTGCAATTTATCCAGCACCACAAGTTTCCACTGCTGTAGTGGAACCCTACAACTCAATTCTAACTACCCATACAACATTAGAGCATTCAGACTGTGCCTTTATGGTAGACAATGAAGCCATTTACGATATATGTCGTCGTAACCTTGACATTGAACGCCCTACTTACACTAATTTAAACCGATTAATTGGGCAAATTGTTTCATCCATCACTGCTTCACTGCGTTTTGATGGAGCCCTCAATGTAGATCTGACAGAATTTCAAACTAACCTTGTTCCATACCCACGAATCCATTTCCCCCTGGTAACATATGCCCCTGTCATCTCTGCTGAAAAAGCCTATCACGAGCAGTTATCTGTGGCCGAAATTACTAACGCTTGTTTTGAGCCAGCCAACCAGATGGTAAAATGTGACCCTCGCCATGGCAAATACATGGCCTGCTGCATGTTATACAGAGGTGATGTTGTTCCCAAAGACGTCAATGCAGCTATTGCTTCTATCAAGACTAGACGTACCATTCAGTTTGTGGATTGGTGCCCAACTGGATTCAAGGTACTTGCAGTGCTTTTTAAGTGCTTAATGTTTGGTTTATTAGCAATTGCATAGTATTTAGAGGTAACAGTCATTCCAAAATGTTGTAATGTCTCTGTTAAATATTTTGATGAAGTGCAGAAGAACTGTCATCTGTTTTATTTGTTCATAACCATGGTGCTTTTTGATAACAGAAATAGGTCTTTGAGCCTTAGCACTCATACGGAAAACTTTTATGTGTTTTCTTGAAGGTGGGCATTAACTACCAGCCTCCAACTGTGGTACCAGGTGGTGACCTTGCAAAAGTGCAGCGGGCTGTGTGTATGTTGAGTAACACAACTGCTATTGCTGAAGCATGGGCTCGCCTTGACCACAAATTTGATCTCATGTATGCTAAGCGTGCTTTTGTGCATTGGTATGTTGGGGAAGGAATGGAGGAAGGAGAATTTTCTGAAGCCCGGGAAGATCTGGCTGCCCTCGAGAAAGATTACGAAGAAGTCGGCATAGACTCAGTAGAAGCAGAGGCTGAAGAAGGAGATGAGTACTTAGAAAACTAAGTCTGGCAAAATGTAGAGAAAGATAAAAAAAAAAAAAAAAATTGCAGAGCCCTGTTTGTAGAACATCTACTTGTTTGCCTGTTTTCAAATAAAGTTTTAAAGGTTCTACTTTCTATTTTTTTTTCTTCTTTACTATGTATGTGCATCCTTGCTAAGTAAGGATCATTTGAGATGGTGTATTTCAGTAGTATCTTGTCATGTGCAGAAAAACTCGGGAAACTAAACACGTCCCTGGGATGCCAACACATTCTGAGAGCTTCTCCATCTCCTTTATTTTTGGTTTTCCACAAGTAGGAAACCGCTTCTGCTTCAGGTTGTTATAGCACTAGTAATACTATTACTATTCCAAGCCTGTCTGCATGATCTAAAGGAACCTACATTTTCTGAAGATGTTTAAGTATCCACAGTTAACTAATACTGTACTTCTGACTAGTTATTGCAGATGCCATTACACTTTCAAATGGAACTAGCACTTAATACCTTTGCTAAGGACATAAAACTTCATCATTGAAAAGTGTTTAAAACTTTACAACTGGAACCCACCCCACTACCTCCTGCATTTGATTCACATAAAAAATAGATGTGTAGATTTCTTACCTGCTTTAAGAATATTGTCAGGTTTCTTTTACGTTCCTACATTTGCCTTGTGAAGAAAAAAAAATACCCCCCCCCCCAAAAAAAAAAACACCCCAAAAATTGATATCCTTTAATGGGTATGTTCAAATGACTATAGCTTTATACGCATTGGAAACAGTTAACTTGTAGGGCGCTTGGCTGCTGATCTGCCGTGTTCAAATTTTCAGTCCTAAATCCCGAAGAGAAGAAGAAACTAGTGTTTTGGGGTTTTGGAGGTTTAGTTTTGTTTTTTTTTCCCTTCCTGTTTTCAAGAAAACCAGGAGAGAGAAAAAGGGGTTACATATACTAAACATACCCTGAAGTGAATTATTTTCAGAAGTTCCTGTAACCAGCATCTGTAGAGCATGCTCTGTATGCACAGTTTACAGAGTTCTAAAAGAACGAACCGCTGTACCAAAAATTGGTTTTGGTTCAGAAGACGGAACGGCCCCAGAGGGCACCGGCCCCACGCGTGTGGCACAGCCTTCTCCGTCCCGTACTACTCAGTACCGACCTCTTCCATGCGCATCACACCCTTCACCAGGTCGCTTCCCGCGCCGGGCGCTGCGATTTTAGAGGATGCCCGACCATGCTAACGTGAAGTTACGCCAGCGCCACACAGAAACGTGTATGCAGCGCCCCACAGGACGAGCCGCCGGCTGACGGCGAGTGCAGTACCGGCGCTGCACACATTCACTTCCCCACTCGACCACCCGGTTTCGCCGCGGGCCGAGAGGAGGCTTCGGTCGCTGCGCGCGCCGCCGCCGTACGGTGCGGAAGCGAAGGGCGCCGCAGCCGCTTCTCGCCGGGGGTGCTCCCGTGCTCTGTCCGCGGCGGGAGCGCAGGTTTTCAGGGACCATGGTGCAGCTTTACAACTTGCACCCGTTCGGGTCGCAGCGAGTAGTGCCCTGCAAGCAAGAGCCGGCCCATTTCTGCTGCGGCCGCGACGTACTGTTCGTGGCCAGCGCGGCGGCCAGCTGCAGGGTGGAGGTGTTCGCCCTGCGCGACCAGGGTCGCTGCGAGCCCCTAGGCTCCTTCGCCACGCTGGGCCCCGTCCTGCGCATGGCGCACAGCCAGACAGGTCAGTGAGCTTCGCCGACGGGCCCGGAAGCGCTCGGCTGGGGAGGCTCGGACGCCTCCATAGCGGGGAGCGGCCTGGGGGCTCTGCCGGGTGGAGGCGCTTGGTCTGGGCCGGCCCGGCCCGGCCCGGCCCTAGCTGGGCCCTGGGGAGACGGCGGCGGGCCGGAGGAGGTGGGGATGGCGGGGATTAAGGCCCAGCAAAGCGCTGGCTGCCACGGGCCGGGCGGCATGGGGCTGGCCCTTGCAGAAGCGCCAGCTTCTGCAATGTACTGGTTTGAGAGCTATGCAATGGGCTGGGAGTCCTCGGGCTAGTGGGAAGTGCAAAGGCAGCACATTGAGTTTTTTTGCCGTCTTGCCCTTTTTATTTTTTTTTTATTTCGGAGCACGTGTCGGGCGGTCAGTGCAGTCGATCCCACAGCTCTTCATGAGTCTGAGAGTTACCCTGCTCTTTAGAGAACAAAACATTTTCTTCATAGTGAATATTCTGAGGGGGAAAACACCTCGACTGCAATCACAGTTTGTAAAGTGGATTCACTTGGGAGTTAGTCTGGACCTAGACCTAGGAGTTCTTTTATTTTTAATGATGCGTGAAGTGTGTTCCACCCAACAAAGAAAAATGTACTTCAGATTTCATTGGAGAAAAATTGGTGAAAATGGGTTTTGGAATTTCATGTAAGAGCTGAGAATTTAAGATGTTCTTTGCTATGTACTATAGCAGGTAAAGAGCTCAAAACCTATACCTATTCCATAATAATAATATATCACTATCACTGCTTTCTTTTAAGGAGACTATCTGGTGACAATTGAAGAAAAAAGCAAAGCAACTTTCCTCAGAGCATACGTGAACTGGAGATGCATGTCTGCAGGGAGTTCTCGTGTTTGTGTTCGGATGGTTGGTCACAAGATGGAAGAGTCATACAGTGAAACCTTAAAAGAACAGATGTCAATTGTGGAAATGCCACTTTCAGATCCTCCACTCTGCATTTCATGCTGTCCTCTAAATGGAGATCTTCTTGTGGGCTGCAAAAATAAACTAGTCATGTTCTGTTTGAAATACCTGTTTATAAACCAGAATTTGACTGTGTTAGACTTTGAACGCTCCTTAATTTTACACATTGATAACTTCATTCCTGCTGAAATTGCATTTTGTGCCAGACATATAGCCATAACAACAGAGCTGGATGTTCTGATCCTGAAACTGGAACTGGTCCAGCAAAGTGCAGACAGGACAGAGCAATGTGCACATAGCGTTAGTACACTAGAAAAGCCTGTGGATGGAGGTAAGTACAAAAAAATTATTTTTTAATTTTTTTTTTAAATTTCCAATAATCTTCTGGTTTGTGTTATTCTAAAATATTCTAAAAGTAGAGAATTGCCCTTCAGAAAATATTTGCAAATCATCTTAGTACTGTCAGCTGGATATTCTAGTACATGGAGAGTTATACCACCTGCTGTTGGAGGTAACTCTTAAAATATGCCATCATTCTGCAGGTGCTTTCAGGATAGTGCAGTCTCTGCAGAGATAGAATTAGGACCCTGTTTTGGGGTGCTGCCATGGGCCAAAACAGCAGTAGTTCAGTGTGCTATGTTCAGAAAAATTATTGTTAGTGTCACTGCCCAGATAACTGTGTCTCTTCTAAGGGGCAAGTGGGAGGCCAAATGGAGGAAGCATGTAATGAACCTTTAAGTCAACCATGTGTATTGGCTTACACAGTGGCAGTGCATATGCACTCTTGTAACTGTTACTAACAAGACTCAGAACCTGCATAAACAAGGTGTCAGCAAATTCTCTTTTTTCAGTCCTTTGTGTTTTTCAGGGGCTTGCCTTAGAATCCTAGAAATCCCAGAAATAGATTTACCCAAATAGGTTGCGTTCCTGTGTATTGCAAAAAATCAGTCCCTATGGAATCAGTTCCCACATTTCCGTAAGTATCAGCTGAATACCAACAAACCTGAGGAAAATCCTTCCTTTATAATTGAAGAAACTTGAAAAGAATGGTATTTTTGAACTGAACACTGTACCAAAAAAAAGGGGAAAGCATAAGCTGGAATGTTCTTAACTGAGTGAAGATGGATCTTAACTGAGATAGTGGCATCCTGCACCTAGCTGGTTTTATTCCTAAAAACTAAGAAGAAAAGTTCAAATTACTCTTGAGTGCTGTTAGGATTTGATTTCCAGACCATAAGTGAGTTTAAGATAAGACAACTTTCTATTGTAGCTGCCTTTTCCTTCTGAAAACCTCTTCAGCCAACATTATTTGAGGGCAGCCATTTGCAGCACAGGTTGCCCTGGACTTGCCTTCTAATGAACAGTTTACTTGTTCTTTCAGAAGTCTTCACTCTTGAGTATTGAGATTGTTGAAGCCTAAGTAAAGGATTGTTCTCATCTTCTAGCATAGGTGTTTTCAAAATCTCATGGTTTGATGAAGCCAGTGCTAGTTAGGAAGCTGTAATTGAAGTATTTAATTGATACTGTGTCATATAATTTTGTTACTGCTAAATGGAATGGCTTGAACAGGTAATACAGCATTTTCTTTGTTAAGGTGTGAAAGGTGAAGGTCCTTCAACACACACTTTGCAGCTAGAATTAGATGAGTTCATCATATGTCAGAAGCCAGCAGAACTGCTTGGGGAAGAAAGTAAGCTATGTGAGATACCCATCACACTGGAATACACAGAGTTACCTACGGAAGACACAAAGTGCTTCCAAGTGCGGTATCTGCTTTTCAGGTATTTCAAATGTATTTTGCCCTTTACAGGCTAATTCTGTACAGAAAAACAAAATGAGCTGTGGCTCACATCTTGTGGAAATTAAAATCCTAGCATTTTGACATCTGGGCTTTTTATAAGATTGGAGTGGTTTTTGTGCTGAGGAAATAATGTGATACCAAAGAAAGTCCATTTTTTTAATAGAGTGGAATATTTCAGTTGGAAGGGATCTGCAACAATAATCTAGTCTAACTGCCTAACCACTTCAGGGCTGACCCATTGTTAAAGCATATTATCCCTAGCTGTGCTGTGAGCTTCTTGGCATTGCCATGCTAATTACATTAGTAGTATGAGTGCATGTTGTTGAGTATAAAACATCAGCTATGTCTTTTTAGCTCGTGCTGTTTACTTGTCCAGAGTAGCTCATAATAATTTCTCACAGAGGTCCTGGTGTTCTTTTGGGTTCTTTTCTCTAGATGTTTTACACCTGACCAGTCGCCTTTTGGCTTCTGTGAAGACACAAAGCTGCACTCTGTTCAGCTGCTTCCTGTATACCAGACAGGTATATGGACATGCATGGATGCATTATGGCCTGTGTCACAGGAGATCTGGGAATGGAAAGAGCTTCTTTGTATATTCTGTTCTGTAGACTGTTTCTGTATCATTTGTTTTTAAATTAAGTCTTTCTTTCCTTGAAAATGATTTAAACTGAGCTTTTATTAAAAAATCTTTTAGTTTCTGTATGTTCTGCATAAACCTTGAACTAAAATACCAATTTGCCACACCAAAAGAGAGAGACTAAACCAGCTTTTATCAGTTTCTCTAGTTATAACACTGAGTTATTTTACATCACAAAACAGTCACTCTTTAAATTGCATAATAAAATTATCCTCAGTGTTAGAAGATACTAGGCTGCCCCTCATTAGTCAACAGTGGAAATCATAGTAGTAAACTTTAATAATCATTAAGATACAGTTTACCTTTCTTCCAGGCTTTAATTAAAGTTTTAATTAAAGGGATGAATGTAGATTTAGGGGTTCACTAATCACAGTAGCTCAAGCCACAACAGACCTGCGGAAAAATTTGATGCTGTATGTTATCAGTCATAACTGACTGCTCACCCAGTCTGGGATTGTTTGCCTGATAAGTTGTGAAGTCTCATTTAAGTTGCAGCTGACTCAAAAGAACAAGCTACTTGCCATTACTCCAGCTGTCTTATGTTCTCTTGTGATTTACTAACAACTTTGACAAGAGGGTCTGTAGAATGTGAACACAGCATTTACCTGCCAAAGCAGCTTTATAAATAAATTATGCCATTTCCAGTCTTTCTTTCCCTTAATTGAGGACACTTATTTTGGTGAGTTGCAGCTCTGGATGACCATTCATCCCAGCTCACACGTAGTTGTCCAAGATCACACTGATCATTCAGTCCATGGATGTTTATTTGTGATGAATCTGACAGGACTCAGAGATGTGGTGACCCCTCTAGAATGTCTTCACTTGGTGGTACAGTCACACTTTTATTAGAAATGCCTCCAAATGAGATAACATGGCATACACATTTGCAGCCTGTGCACTGATCCAGCGTGTACACTGGTCTTCATATAGTACTTTTTCTCTTCACTAGCTACTAACAAAACCAGTCTACAGCCTGGGCAGGTTTGATAGTATATTTTAGGTATCAGGCTTGCAAAGGAATTGCTAGCTTTTGATTTATGAGGTATATAAAATGCTTTTCTTATTGTTATATCTAGGAAGTTCTATGACAGCCCATGAGGAAACTGACATCAAGAAAGAACTACTGAGTCTCTTCTGCTTTTTCTCTTTACCTCATGTTGGATATCTCTACTCTGTTGGGAAGATAGTAGAACTGATTTCTACTTACCAATATTCAGAGAAGTCAGAGCAGGCAGTTCTCACTTCACAGTTCCTGCATGTCATTACAAGGTACAAGGTTTATGATTTTGCTGGTAGTATTACTGGTTTTCTATTCTGCTGTCTTTTTTGCATGCCCATTCAAGGCCCATTTCTACAAAGGAGAAAGATCTGATTCTCTATAGCTTTGGCTACTTGACTTGAGCAAGTCTTCTTTTTTTTCCTTCGTCGTTGTGGTTTCATATTTCCCTCTAGTGAGAACCTGCAGTGCTTCACAGTGCGGTGCAGTGCAGCAGCAGCTCGTGATGAGGATCCATATATTGATACGACCGTGAAGGTGGGGGCAGTAGTATGGCACTTAGTTTTCTAATGTTTCCTTATGAAATCCCATTAGTTTCTATTAGCTGAACCAATAAAATACCATAAGAAATTAGTACTTCATTCTGCGGCATATTATATTTTAGTGGTCTACAAATGTCTCAATGACACAATCCATTATTGCTGTTTAAGATCTATGCCGTTAGTGCTGTGTTTTCAAAAACATCAAAAGCTATAAAGTCATGTATATTTTTAAACTAAATTCTATGCTTTGCTGCATAAATCTGAATGAAGGGTACAGTTTTCCCGTAGTGTAAGTGATGATGTTTCTCAAGTATCCTTGAAAAAAACAGTTTTTGTAAGAGGAGTGTAGACACCTGAACAGTCTCTGCTATCAGTTACCAACTGAAATCAAGACTTTTATAACCATGTCAGGTAATTTTTTACAACTTGGCCAAATTCAAACTATTTTGTACTGTTTTCCATGTAAGGCATCTCCCTCAGGGTCTGTTAATTTGAGACACAGCTAAAACTGCAGTTGCTTTGAAGAGTGAAATGATTTTTTGTTTACCCATTGTTAAATGATTTATGTCATAGTTTTGTGATTATTTTTATTTGTAAGTGAAGCACTTATAGTAAAGCCAGTGAATGTTTTTATTGTCATTGGAAAAAGGTTACCTCTTCATATTTTTTTTACTTTTCATTTAAAGACTCAAACTACATGCTAACTGAAATTACAAAACAATCACTTCCCTTTATAGGCTTGTCCGCCTGTCACACTGGATGTCTGCACATTAAGAATGCAGCTTTTTATAGGACCAAGAGCTATCTGTCATTTCAAAAACCATATAATTCTTTTGACTAAGGCGGACACAGAAGATATTACTGAAAGAAGAAAGCCTACAAGAAAGATGCTGTAAGGATTTGTGTCTCTTGGGGAGATAGTTATTTGTAGCTCTGTGTACAGTGCTCAGTTTGTGGGTGTTGGAGTTGAAGAGAGGTTCCTTTCGAAGAAGTGGAGATAATTTCTAGTTAATGCATGAGAACAAGAAACCAAGCTTTTTTTTTTTCAATTTTACTGTATTAACTGAATTAGAAGAAATAAGGATAGGGTCACAGATGCTTGAAATTAACAAAGTAAGTCACTCAAGTTTGTAAAAAAACTTAAGTTTTATAAGGAATGTTAAAATAACAAAAACGTGTTGTAACACAAAATGAAAATATCTTACATTTGGCTAAGGGTTATTTCCAAGAAAAGTTACAAATACCACTATAGTAATCCATGACAAAAGAAGGATCATATTTTGGCCTAAGATGTTCTTAAAGCGTGCATGTAGCTAGAGGCATCTTTGTGAGAACTGCTATTCCTGTTCTTTTTTGAGGGCCTTTCATAAAACAGCTGAACGGCCATACTAAAACAGCTATTCAGAAATCACATTTATTTAAGTCAGTTCATTAATAAAATTGGGACAGCTATACTTGATTGAAGAGTTACTTGAGTCAGTATTTCTTAAAGCCTAGAACAGTATTCAGGAGACGATGAGGATAAGCCAGGAAGGAGAATGGTGATTCAAAATACTGTTATTGTCTGCATGTAAAATACAGTTTCTTCTGCCAGTTGTGTTGTTTCGAAGGTTATCGTTGGCGTTTGAGAAAGATAGGCATTACAGACCTAGCCGGTATTTTTGCATCTAAATTACGAAGTTTGTGATGTTTTTTGGCTCCATAATGTTTATTTGGAGACTGAAATCTCAACTTTTCTCCTTCTCTCTAGTTCCAGAAAGGCTGACAGCATCAAATCACGAACAAATTCTGAGTCAGAGCCTGGTTGGAATTTATATATTATAAACACTGTTTCAACCATTCAGCTTTACAGAGAAATGGTATTGCCCATCTCCTGCTTTTGTGGTTTGGTGACTAAAATTAAGTACTGTTAATTAACCTCTGGGGCATGTCATTGCTGGATATAAAGTAATGTATTTCTCATGAACAGCCCCTATAATCCTATTTCAAATGGCTGCTGCCCTCGTTAACGCTGTTCCTGTGTATTCTTAATTTTTGCCAGCAGCCTAAGTATATCCTGTGTCTGTTCTAGGTAGATTATAGTAGAACCTATGAAAATGTAAAAACTGAGAGTTGCATCCATCTGCTAAGTGAGGCTCACTTACTGGTCAGAGCAGCTATAATGGACCCTCATTTCTTTAAATCAGATGAGAAAGAAGAAATTCTAAGAGCATTCAGAGAAAGTTGTGCCGCCTTAGGAGACTGCTACAGCAGGTATGTTCTAGATGACAAAGTGATATAGGTGAGCTTCTGTTTCCAGTAACATAACCTTAGAACTAAAATCAATAATTCTTTATCATTTTACACTAGTATTGCATATATAAATCTTTACGTTCTATGAGAACAACTTTATCTAGTAATCTCTTCAGTATCTCGTCTTTATTGTCATTGAACACACAATATATTACATTGAGCTATATATATGAGCTATGTATTTGCAGATACTGGTGGGTCTGCAACCTTGTTTGATGTATTATTTTAGTTCCTACAGTGATGGCAAAAGTATTTCCTTTAGTTGTTTTGTTTTGGGTTTTTTTCCTTCTCTATTGCCTTTAGGTTTGACACAAAGGATTACCACCTTGCTTTGCCATACTACAGAATGTCAGGTTTATCCATGACTGAAGTTTTAAAGAGACTAGTTTCAGAAGGTGATGAAGTACATACGTATGAGAGAGGATTTATATTTTACTTAACTCACTCTCTTAATGAAGACTTAAATGAAGAATTAAGTAAGGTAGGAACAAGTTGAGTATTTTCTTAATCTGTTTAGTTCTGATTTTAAGAACTGTATAAAATTTCAATTAAATTCCCTTTGAAACTGCTGAGCTGCTTATTTAATTTTATCATTGTTCTTTTTCACATATTTTTTATTCTCCAATTTTTATTGTCAAAAAGCAGCACCTGTGGTGCTTTGGGCTGTTTTCAAGCAACGTAGTATGAGTTTAGCTATCATGATGTATGTTGCTAATGATCTGGTTCCTACTTGCACACAGTTTAGGAAAGCTTTGCCTCAAATTTCTTTCATCTCCCATTTCTGTAACAAAACAAACTCTTTCTGTAAATGTTGCCAAATCATACAGGTTGGTTAAATCAACTCACTGTGGTGGTGGATGTTCTCCTACCACCCCAGAATATGGGTTGAATCACTGCTGGTTAGAGATCCTTTACTTTTACCAGTGGGGAGGAAAGAAGAAGGCAAGGCACTGTGACTTGATATATAAGCTGTACTTGTCTGTTAAACTAAACAAAAAAATCCAAAAACACTCCCCCTCTCCAAAGCAACAACAAACAAAACTGCAATACCTTCATATGCCATAACAGAATGTACATCTAGAAAGGTCTAAACTGTCAAATGGTTTTCATTTCTACAGGAATCAGCAAATAAAGTTCTCCAAATATTCTGTCTTGCTGACCCTGTGCAGCTGCCTCATATCCTCTGCAGCCCCTGCATGAGAAATGTATGTCCAGTGACAGCTGTGAAGTACCTTCAGAAAGTAGAAAAGATTATGCCATCAGTGGTCCTGACACTTACTAAGGCCTTCATGGCTCTGAAAATGGGAGACCTGACGATGTATGAACATGAGATGGACTCCTGTAAGGAGGTAAAGTATGTTGAAAGTATGAGCTATTCACATTTTGCAAAGCTCAAATCAGTAGATTTGGCTTTAAGTTGTATCTTACAGTAAAGAAACTTCCAGTCACTCTTCCTCCCGATATGCTGTAGAGCCTCCACTGAATATTTGCAATTAATTACAGTAGAATCAAGGGCTGGCATATGCTGGGACTGCACTGCATACCCTGCAGGTACGGTAGTCTTGGCAAAGCCTTACCAAGTAAGTGAAAGTTTTGAAGCTGTTAATTCTTGCTAAATTAAATGCTGTTTTCTGGGGTGTAGCACAAGCTCTGCAGAGCCAGTGCTCTTCAGCACTATGGCAGGGTTGTAGAGTAGCATTTTTACACCCCTGTAGATGTAATTAATATGTGATACGCCCATGCAAAAAATGTATGCAAACAGCCCTTATAAAATTGCATTTGAAGCACAATGTCCATGGTGCACACAAACTAAAGTTTCTGTATACAGTTTCCCATGTTACATGGAATCATAGCACTTAACCCTTCGTAAGATCAGATCAGAACCTACTTCACTGCTATCAACGAATTCCACATCAGTGGGGGAAAAATATTAGTGAAGCGCTCTCTGTCACAGATGTTCACATGTGGTTTTAGACTGAGACCAGTCTGTAAATTACTTCTTGTTAAGGTTGGTCAGGACTGCTGAATATTAAAAGGTGACAAGAGCTTGAAATACAGACTCCTTCTGAGGCTGAGGTACTGGAGGTCTAAACACTCTTAAACTGATAGCTGTTCCAAAGTTAGATACCACACTTCAGTAGAAGTCCTGGAGGGCTTTCAAAGTTAGCAGTTTTTGAATTGCAGAGTGGGAGCTCTGGAGTGCTGTTTCACGAGTGATATTCAGCACCACCTGCTTTTGCAGGGTGATCCAGTGAAATTTTCATGTTGTGAGCAAAAAGAAACTTCCACATTCTGCTGTATGAATGTGATTTAGAGAATAAGGTGGTTGGTGTTTGGGTGTTGGGTTTTTGTTGGGCTTTTTTTCCTTCTTTTTAAGCTGACCTATCAAAAAATGTTCTGTTGCACCTCACCTTTAAAAAGCATTTTGTTACAAAGTAGAAAAAATAACAGTTTCAGAAAGATAAAGAAAGGAAAGATAGTTTGCATAGCAGGATGAAATCTTATTTTTCCTCCTAGGTCTGCCTTATATTTCTTGTATAGTTCATTTAATCTGCTTAGGCATCATTTGCCTACTGTCTTTCTAAGTGGAAATAGTAATAAGTCAAAATTTCTAAGTGGAAGTAGTATCTTGTCATGCTCACCTTCAAAAGCACTCAGATGCCCAGAAACAACTTACTGTTGCATGTTTTGATCATTGTCTCAGGGGTATTTTCAAAATAAAAATCGATAGCAAAAGCAGTCTACTGAAATGTAGCAAAGTAGTCTGTTGACGTTTCAGCCAGTGATTTTGCACAATTCTGTGTGTATTGAGTGTCTTGGATTTCATAGTGAGATCTGTCTCCACATTTCAACAGCATGTAACTTTCAGTGTTCAGGTAACTGGCCTCTTGCTCAGAGTCACTGCTCTGGCATGTGGTTTGGAGCTCAGTCTCTGGAGAGCTATTCTGTAAATTGTAGAAAGGATTTATTTCCTTCCCCTGACTTTCCTTCATTTCATCTGTCTAAACTTCACTGCTTGAGGAAATACTGTGTTTGCTGAGTTGAAGTCATGTGGACTGAATTCTTTACATGATTTCTATCTGACTATGTTTGTAGACAGTACTGGGTTGTGGCTTCATCGGGCAACCAAAGCTCTTGAGACAGTGGAAGGAAGGAACAGTTATGCCAACTGAATTTGCTGTTCACCTGAAGGAGACGCAACCTGGTTTGCTGGTGGCTGCCATTGTGGCTTTACATGAGAACAGTAAAATTGAACTAGAGGAAGCAGATACCTTTTTCAAGGTTGGCCTGTGATCATTTTTTGCTTCTATTTTTCTCATAATGGTGATATGGGTAAGCAAAGCAGCCTTGGTTGCCCCTTCACTCACCTTTCAGCATTTCTTCAGAAAGAGGGACATGAGGACTGGGAGATGAGCTCATGATAGATGCCTACAGAGTCAGAAACTGGACCTTCTGGAAAGAAATACTGGTTAAATCAAGAAAAAAAAAATTGAAGTTTTTTGTTTTGACCTTGTCATTTCAATGCAGAATACCCTGATGTCAGAATACCCTGAAGCCATTGAAAGACTTCCTAGTAGTTTGGCTTCCTAAGGCTAGTGACATTTAAAAAAATTTAGATAAATCATTCCATAAGCTCCTTTTGAAGAAATCATTAGGATTGAAACATAATTCTAAAGACTCAGACTTCAATATGAAGGTATAGAATGTTCTGTCTAAATTTCTGAAACAAGAGTGGAGTCTCTGCAGTTTATAAGAAGGATAAATAGAATTGTTTTCTGGTATCACTGAAGTTTTCTTTGTTTAGACTGGGAATAGACCTTTTTTATTTACAATGAATAACATTGTTTGGATTAAAATCATGTACTCTTCAATGTAGGTATTCTGCAGTTCTGTATCTGCTACTGTGAAATAACCAGTATCAAAAATACCAAGTCATGAAGCTCAAATTGGAATGAGTGTTATTATTTAAAGCCAGTTGGAAACCAAGTAATGATCCTTTTCATTGTCATGCCAGTCCTTAAAGCATCTCACTTGTGGATCCTACCATTACAACCAACTGAGCTACACGGAATCTCTTATCATGGCCTTAAGAGTCTTCTTTTGAAGGCACCTGCTTGGCTGTTGGCATATAGAAATTTCTCCAAATTAGCTGTCTGTGAATAGTTGCTGACAGTGTGCTGGCATTTCTGACAGTGGAGTAAACCTTGGAAAACAAATCTATCATTTAGAATTGATTAGCTTAAAATCATTCCATGAACTTTTTACTTTGCCTAGCACTGTATTATGGAGAATGATAAGACAAAAAAGGAACCAAAATTCTACTTCTAGTAAAAGTGAAAAACTGTTCCTCCTGCCTCTTCTAACTTCTGCTGCTAAATAATTACCATACTCTGTGCTAACTTGCTGTCTTCTAATGGTTTTATTCTTAGATGTTGTGTGGTAACAGAGAAAGCACTATTCCTCAGCTCTTGGTAGATTTCTGGGAAGCTCTTGTAGTGTGCTCTCAGAAAGAAATACTTCAGGAGCTTTTACTGAGGCTTACTTCTCAGTATGTTTCAAGAATATTGAAGAAGCAACTTCCTGAGACTAAGCCACTGAAAACAACAGAGGATCTGGTAAGTACACCACTCAGAGGAGGTTTTAGGACCACATTGTACCTCCAAATTCTATCCATATACTATCCTTAGTATTTTAGTTCTGAACAGTTTATCTCTTAAAAGAAACAAGACTGAAAGCAAGTAAGTTAGTGTGCAGTTACGAGATGATAGGTATTGCAGGCTCTGGGGACTCTGCTCTTTGGGGACATTTCAAATATACTTCCTACTGGAACCTCAGCTCTGGATAGAAATAAGGGTTAAAATGAAATGGTGGCCGCTTGTCAGGTGGAGTGTTTGCAGTTTTGCAAAGCTGACTAAATGAAAAAAGTGTGTGAAAGATGAATTTTAAAGTATTCTGAATGGGAAATCTGAAATACAGAATTAAATAGAAGATTCCAGTTCATCTGTTACTAAATTGTATGAACCAGAAGAAAGAGTAGATGTTATTCTAAATTTTCTTCACTTGTGGTGCATTTCAGATGGAACTGTCATTAACAGAAATACTTCTTTTATTGAAACTTGACTTTTTCTTGTGTAGATAAACTCCTGTAATCATTTTGGGTTGATTTTCCCGTGGGTAACATTAATAATGTCACTGGGATCTCCATCTGCTAAATATTACAGTGAAGATATCTCAAAATTACAGGTATGAAACCTTTAAATCTTACTGTTTACAGTTTAGATCCATTCTGCAAATATTCATGTATGTGTAAACAAATTTTTTGAGCAGACTCCCCTTTTCCTCCCCCTACCTCTCTCCCCCCCCAGGTTATCCAAGTTGAACTGAAAGGCCCATTAAAATGATAGCAGAAAAAAATACTGAAGAGATATGTTGACACTAATTATATTTGCAGGACACTCTGAACTAGCTTTCTTGGTTTTCAGTAGCATTTATTAAAGGAAATAGTATTTCAGAATTACTCTAGTAAGTAAGGGCTTCTGTTCTAAGGTTATAGTTAGCATATTTTTTGCAAAGTTTGTGTTAAATCCAAACAATATGTTTTCTTCTTGCCTGCAGTCTCTTCTATGTAGTCAGTCAATCAACATAGCTTCAGCTCTGCCTGTCTTGGAGCCTCTGACAGAGGATGGCAATGTTGGCCTCACCATCCATGTTCTCTGCAATACCCGCCTAGGCAAATATGAGGAAGCCATTGACCAGCTTCTCGAAAGGTGTCCTGATGCAGCTGTATTATATGCTCAGCATGAGCTGAAAGATGACAATCGGGTGAGCTACTTTTGTTAAAGTTGTTCAGTATTTTTTGGTTTGTTTTTTTCTGGTTTTTTTTGCATACAGATGGACTCTGGATGGATCAAATAGACCACCTTCAAACAAACTAAATTGCTAAGCTTGCTTTCAACTTCTTGCTTGGCATTTAAATTCCGTATCTCAGTTCCCACTGATTTTAATAGCATTCATTTTTTCCCAGTTTCTTCTGTGACTAGTAGATTTAAAGCGTAGTCTTTTCATATGGCAGAGTGCCTTAAAAAGGGAGAGTAGTATGTTCTTTATCCATCATAAATGAAGAACTAGCTAGTTTCTCACTAATCAGTGTTCTAAATTGTTTGACAGTGTTGCATAATGTGACATTTTAGTGATAACTGATAAAAGAACATGGTCCTTCAAATAAAAACACTTAAATATGTTCTTCCTGTGTTCTAGTGACATCTTCTGATACTATAACCTCAGAATGGTACTGGTGCACTAGTGGATTGTTCTTTATGGCCCATTTTCCACTTGGGCATCTACAGAGGTTTTATTTTGTATCTGATTTTATTCCAGTGTTCCACAAGTGCAGAAGTTCACTCCACTGCCCATCACAGCTACTCAGTTAACTGTACATGGTTTTGTTGGCCAGAGTTACCAAAGGTGATCATCTACCAGATGGCCATACTAGAATAGAACCCCCTTCAAAACCAGACCTGTGCTTTTTAGTCAGATCTGAAAATAGTTTTTTTGATTATTTCCACGTTAGTTAGAGTTGAATGGGATGCTGCAGTACAGACTCTGAATTCAGGTAGAAGAAAATAATTAACCACATTTAAAAAAGGAAATTCCTTTCCCTCCATTCTTATCAACAAAATTCATAATTCACTACCACAGCTGTTGGAAGCTGACAGATTAGGTTAGGAGACAGAGCAGTGTTTATAGTAATGCTGTTCATCACTTTGCATGGAGTTGTTTGGAGGGATAATCCTTGATTTTCTGACTGCATTAGTCTTGCCAATTACGTGGTATTTTTAGCTTATAACCTTTTATATAAAGAGGCACTAAGGGGCGCTGTGTAAAAGCTTTTGAGTAGAAAAAGTTGGGACTGAAAATTGAAACATACAATGTGTGCAAAACCACTGCATGTCAAAGCAGTGTGTAAACTAACAAGTTCATCACAACCTACCTGTATTTGTACACATCTGAGCTTAGCTCAGTGTATATTTAACAGGTCTTTCATACTCTTACTTGTAGTTTTTGTTAATGTACACTTTTGCTGTGTGTTTTTTCTGGATTAGGCTGTATGGTGGAACAAGCTACTTCCTGAATTTTGCAAGAGAGCTAGACTTACTGGAAATGACTGCCCTGTTTTTATTTCATCACTGAAAGGTAAATCAGTGGACTGCAACTCAACTCCAGAAGCCTTTGCATGTCATCTGACATTCTAAACCCTGTTCAGGCTAAGGACTACTGATATGATAATTTGGAAGGAAAAGGGAACCTTTTTCTATAGTTAAAGCTAATATAGCTCAGCAGGCTTTCTAGTCCTTATCACAGCATTCTGCAAAGTACAGTGTGTTGCCTCATATAAAAATCATAGCATTCATTTTGTTTTAAAAACAGTTAAATTGTTGGAATCATACTGTTTCTATATAGGTCAAGAACAGACACCATTAAAAACTTATTAAATAGAGCTAATGGTTGGGGTTTTGTCCTAGGCTAAGCGACTATATGGTCCTACACAATGACAGCTAACAGGCTCCTGTTGATAACCGAGTGAGCACTTAAGTGTGTATTGATGATGAGGTCACAGAGTGAAGAATCCCACAATGTGTTACGGCTAGAAGTGAAGAAACAAACCCTAGTAGTTGATGTAGTCCTATTGGTACATTAACAGGACATTAATAATACCATATATAGCTGAGGGGCCAGTGTGTTTGTTTTGACAGAATACAGAGACTGAATAAAGCGCGTATTTTTTTAAAATCAGTGTAATGCCAGAGAGCTGAAAAACAGCAGCACAGGTCACCATGCCCTGTCATAAAATTCTAGTTTCTAGTGGTAGCACTGTTTTCGTGCGGTTGCTGTGCTGTAATCAGTTGAGAAGATAATGTTTAAACAGCTTGGTCTGGTCCGAGAGGCTGCTCTCGGAACATCCCATTTTACAGATAGTGCTGAGGTAGAGTACTAGTACAGATTTCAGGGCTTCCTTTGCATTTGATACAAAACACGTGAAGTACTAGATCAGATTTCTGTAAGCATTAGTGCCCCATTTAGACCTGCTGAGTCAAGACAGAGGTATAGTTTTAACCTAAGACATCATTTCAGTTTGTTTTTGAGATTTCCTGCAGTTGTATTTGCTCCCAAATTGGTGTGTCTCAAATGTCATTCCAGTTGCAATATTTAGATAATTTGATGACTTCAGTTAGTAATGATGTTAATATTTTTTCATTTCTTTTTACTAAACTGAAAATACTTAAACAAGATTTTTTTTCCTGTGCTCTGAGCAGAAACTTTATCAGTTGTTGCAATGGAACTGGAACTAAGAGATTTCCTCAGTTTTCTACCAGAGGATGGAACTGCAGCATTTTTCCTGCCACATCTTCTTCACTGCAGCCAGAGGAGGGTGATGACATAAAACAACGGAAGCCTACTATGCACTCAAATACAAAGAATGTGCCAGAATAAAAAAGTAAATGAAAACAAAACTACATATAAGGTACTGTAGGACTCCCCTCACATAAATCACCTTTCATTATTTCTCAGTTGAAACCTTATGAGAACTATTGAGTGACAGCTATTGTCTGAGGCAAAGCAACTCTTTTGAAGCTAATAGTAGTACACTCCGACAAAGGTCAACAAACCAGAATTACTGCCTCGTAGAACTGAATGGCAGTCAGCTGGACTGGTGAAAAAGTGACTTTTCAACTGTTAGGCAGGATCACATGTCCTCTCAAGGAGGGTGAACTTACAGCCAAAGCAGCTAAAAAATACAGACTGTACAGTACAATTGGACATTTGATGTTCAGCAAAAGTAAAGCAGAGAGTCAGGCTTATTCTGCGTTACTTAGTTGGATCACTGACCAGGGAGGAAGAGTTTAAATTCAGGCAGAGGTCTAACTGTGTGAGTAAAAAGCAAGAGCCTTACTCCTCCAAGTGGAATTTGGCCCCACTTCATTTTGCAACATACACATTCCCTTGAATTCCAGTTGGTAAACCCAGTCAGCTGTTCTGGCATCTTAATTACATACCCATGCAAGTGTTGCACTGAAAATGTTTTCATTTAGCAGTTCACGAAAAAAAGTCGTAATGACAAAGAGCGTCAAATTGAAACCGAAGTGTTTTCAAGGGCATGGAAGATAGGGACTACTGCGCGCTTGCTCTTTATTTTCTTTCTTCTGTTGTACTCAGTTAATGGGAAAGTATTTGAAGTATCCCTAGGCCAGAGATGCAGCTGAAAACTCTTACTACTTCTGGGTTTTTTTGTTAAACCTCTCAGGTAATTGTGCATGTATGTACTGATGTTTGTCTGTCGTTTGGGCAGAAACTATCCTACTGTTCCTTCAGCTGTAATTCAGTCGTAATAAACTGTTACTATGTTTATGACCTTCTTACTAATGCAGTTTGTTTTTTTGAGAATCTACCACAAATAGGATGACTCCATGATTCCATAACCATTTAAAGGCTTAATTAGCTGGCATTGCTCTGTGAAATCCATTTTTACAAAAGCTGTAAAGTTACTTAATGTAGAAGACAGAAGAGATCATCTGCAATGCAAATGTATTAAAAAGAGAAAGGTAAAAAAAATAGTATCATTTCTCTGTAACATTACTGATACAGCCAAAGTCAGTGATCTGATTTACGAGTAAGGATTATGCTGGTTTCAGTAGAATATTTCTACCTTAAAAAATGATAAAGCAATTTAGGCTTGTTACAGAAAAGCAATTTCATTTGTTCTAGTAGCTGTAAAGCCTAATATTTTGCTTGCCTGCCTGTCCCATAAATCCTTCCCTCTTGTTTGGCACAGGTCTAGGTAGAGTTGGGCTATTAAAACACACAACGGATGGCACCAACAATACCTGCTCTTACTGCTTTCATTTTTGACCAGTATCAGTCATGCACTAATACTGCTTCTTCCATCTGTCAAGAAATGCTTAATTTGCCTACTCCTGCCCTACATAACTAGAAAAAAAATGATTCCACTGCAGGACCTGTCTAAGATGCAATAAAACAAAGCTCTTGGGTACAGCCGTCACCAAATTTTGCCCTTCACTGTCTGAATTTCATCAGGCTTATTTCAGCATAACTTTGTCTGTCTTGTAATTATTTTCGTAACAGAGAACCAAAAACATCTTGTGCAACCATGATCCCTCAAGCCAGTGCATCTTTTAAACATCTTGAAAGATGTTACTGGATAAAATGAGAAAATAATTCAATGGAAATAAATTATTTTGTTAGGTGTTCAGTTACATGATAGTGTGTGTGTGTGTGTGTGTGTGTGTGTGTGTGTATGAAGTGTGAACCTATGCATAAAGTGATAACTAAATTCCTATTTTAAAAGCAATAGCTACTAGTATATTTGACCAGTAAAATGTGACAGCAGATACCCAAAACAGTCCTTCCTGTTACATAGGGTTGTTTACAATCTTTTTTAAAAAAAAGTACATTCCATTTCACTCTTCTGTGTCCCTCAGCAGTTAAATAACATGCACTAGGCATCACCTAGAATACGTTTAGATTGCAAGTTACTATTTTTATTTAGAGGAAAAGATACTTAGAAGCTGTTTTATCCAATCAGCTGTCTTAGCCTACAGCACATTTGTTAGCCATGGGCCACCAAATGAAATCTTCCAAAACACACATGGAAATGAATTGTCCAGGAGAGGGTATTTCTCAGGAAATGCTTTGCTGAAGGTAAAGCTTGGAGAATCACTGTGGTAAAATGTTTTCATCATTCTAGTGTGGCCCGTGTACCTTTACTCTTGAACTGATCAAATAATCTTGGTAATAAACACTGTTTTTCTGTAAGGGAGAAAATAATAGCTTTTGTTACACACATTTCACCAGAAGAATAATAGTCTGCATGTGGAAAACAGAATGGAAAATTAGAGCCACAAGTCCTACTGTTTTCAAGGTATTGTGTAGTAGATTTTAGAATAGCTTTAAAATGCATTGAAGGGTATATTTTAGTGCACTTTAGATGGCTGGTTGTAAAAAATCTAACATACTACTTCTACAAATTAAAGTCTGTTTCTGCATCTCTTTCTGTGTACTCTTACGTCAGCCTTTTTATTATGTATTCTGTAAATCTCAATGGTTTATAAAATAGAACTACATTGTGTTTAACATTCCAATGTGCATCTTTAGTAATAGATACGTACATTATACAGTTGTGTGTGTGTATATACATACACATATTTTGAGATGTTCTTGCTGTTCTCTTTCTGTCAGTTAACTGCAATACATACCTATTATGCTCAGTCTTTTGAGTACAGAAAAGTGTTGCTTTTAAAACTGGATTAACTGTTGAAACAAGAACTTTCCAAATTCTTCAAAGGTAAGATTTGGGTTTTTTTTCCACATTAAATATTTCTAAATCAAGGTAATTGTGTCTGTAAAGCTGAAATATGTCCTTTAGAAAGAAAACTGCAGTTTTAGTGTTTTAGTACTTCAGCTGTTAGGGAATATGACTTCAGGTTTATCTGCTAACTGTTCTTGTTTTAAATGAAGACTGAGAGGGAGTCTGACGCTAGTGGCACTTTTTGGGTACACAATACTCTTTTGAATAAAAGTGTCATTTTTATTTCATTGGTGGGAAGCTGAAGCAATAGTCAGTTAACATCCAGTCCTTTAGCTTCTTCTGTTTTCTGAGCAGCAACACTGAGGCAAATATGATTGGATAGCTTGCAAAATTCTGGCCCCCAGACATCAATATTAAGCCATGAAATATTGCTGGATGCCAGAACTGGTTCTGGGTATGCTTGTGATCCCCATTCTGCATCTTTTAACATAATGAACATCGAGTTAGAAAAGCTCCTACCTTTCTTTGGGAGTACGGTGTAGGTTGTTTCCATGCCCGCGTGGATGTGGTCAGTAACATGACAGTGTAATAGCCAAGTTCCAGGGTTCCGCGGGGTCATTTCCACAGTTTGAAATGTTCCAGGGAATAGATCAAAGACATCTGCCCGGTAAACCTCTGTTTGCTTCAGGACAAGAAGAAACAATAGTTAAATAGTGTGGCATTAACCAGGTGGCAGTAATTTAAGCTACCTTTTAGGCATATTCCCACCACACTTTTTACAGTTGAGTGAAGAGATATTTACTGCATATCATTTCTACAGAAACATCATTTTGTATATCCACTTCATGCTGAAAGGATTAATAAACTAGCAACTAGGTGGAAATGAAGGAAAACTACAGCTCCTGTTTTACCACAGCCATGAAAATTCACAGCCCACTTGTCGAAGCATCTTGTGAGGTCACTGTTCAGCAAATGCTACTGGCAGATACTCTGTATATTGTATATTGGTCATACGCAGGTTTGGGGCATAAAAACTTTACAGTCAAATTACAAGTCCTGCTTAATATTGTAACACATGACTTTTCACTGGAGATTACAGTCCTTGGTATTTGCCATAGCTTTCATTCTTAACCCAGCGAGAAATAAGTGAAAAGGACCTGTTACCTTATAATCAAAGCTGTGGCCATGGAAGTGTGCTGTGTGAATGTCTATTTCATTGCCCATTCCCATCAAGTACCAGCTTACTTTATCTCCAACATGCATAGTCAGGCCATGTAAATTTCCAAACACCTTTCCATTAATGGCTAAAGAGAGGAAAAGAGCAAGACAGAAAATAAATAAAACTTTGTGTAGTGTTGTTCTCTAAGCTTTAATGGAATACAAGATCTGAAAGCCAATGCCAGGCAAAAGTAACAATTTTGAATGGTATATGAAAACAAAACAAGTGGACAGCATATTATGAATGGGTCTGATTCTATTCCATATATAACTAGAAAGCAAGATGTAGTTAAAAGTTTTTTCCTGTACACCCTTGCTTATAATGCAGTTCTTAAAGATCTGCATTTCCTGCAGCTCTCTGTGGAGGGTACGCTTTACCAGGACGCACATCGCCTTTCCAGCTTATCCAGAACAACTGTTTGCTGACATGAAATCAAAATTTCAGATGTCATTTTTAAATTTTTATTCCTTCTCCTGAAGGATTTTTATTACTTCCCTCTGAAATTTCAACATGGAACCATTTTTATAGGTTAAAAAAAAAAAAAAATCAAAAAAAAAAAATCAATCATTCAGTGGCACTAACAGTGCCAAAACAGTTTCAAACAGTTTTGAATGAATTTTTTCCTAGAACTGAAAATTCAGAGAGGATGAGAAAGTCAAATTTATATGTAGTATTTTCAAATACATAATTATATAGAGTTTTCAGATTTACATTAACTAAATTGGAACATACCGTGCATTTTATTACTTTCGAGGAATTCTTCATCCTCTTTGTCAACAAGGTGTGGGTTGGTAGAATACGTTTTAATGTTTTCATCCAAGTACCATGACTCATTTTCATCAAAAACCATAAAAAGAAGAGCGAATTGAACTTTCTTTTTAGTGTGAAAAGATGGCAAGTAATGTCTATGGCACACCACAAGTGTGCCTATTAATCCACTGTAAGTGTCCTGAAATGACAAATGAAAAATCATATCATTACGTGATGTGACCAAACAGTAGCATTTTTTAATGCCAGACACGAATCTTCCTATTTTTACAGCTGTCAGCATCTGGGAATAAAGGTAGCCAGACAAACAAGGTTATTTCTTGACTGTTACGTGGTACCTATGGATCAAGTTCAATGTACTGTGAAGAGCAGCTACCCCTTTTTCTTCTCTTGCCAGAAATAAACATTTGTTCCATTTTAATTTGTTGCCTTTCTTTAATTTTTTTTAATTTTCTTTTTTATTTTCCAAAATTCTTTTCAGACTTTAGGATTTTGAACTTGGTTTCCATTCAAAATACACTTCTTGAGGCTTTTTTATTGGTGCTTTCTGAGACACAATGGAAAGAATCCTTTAATTTACATTAAAAATCATTAGCCATGGTAACAGGTGGCTTGTACAAAAATGTTGGATTTATGTTCCACAGTTGCGTGTTATTTTTTCCACACATGACAGATTAGATATTGAGAAAGCTATAAAGTGTTAGCTTTAAGACAGAAATCTGAGTGAGGTGAACTACACAAACAGCAGAACCAGGAAACAAGAATATGAAGGGCTGTGACTGAAATTCTGCCCTGACTTTCTTGCATTATTCAAAGAGATATTTAAATTCAGAGGTATGGTAACAGGGGGAACA